TCGCGAAGGCGTATACGAAAAAATGACAACGGCGACATTTGCATCCGAAATTACGAATGCGATCGTGCTGGCAAACCGAAGTGTACTCAAAACCTTGCTGCCGAAGACAGGGTTCGGATTAAACGCGGGTCGAAGCGGTGTGACTGTCCAATGCGGATTTCGTTGAGGTCGATCAGCAAAAATGCACCTGCAGGGGAATGGGCAATCGTCCACACTGGTAATGGTAGCGCCGTTCACAACCACAAGCCATCCATGGACGCTCGTGTCCACGCAGCTCACAGATCCAGAGCTGCTCAGGATATCATTGCTACTTCTGAGCGCTCAGTTCACAGTATAATTGAGGCCCAATCTGCTGCTGGTGTACCTGTAGCCAACATTTACGCAGCAATGTTGAATCAAGACCCCAACACTCTGATAGTTCCTAAGGATATCGCGAACGCCAAGGACTCAGCTCGTCGTCGAGTTCTCGCTTCCGCTACGCCTATTGAGGCTCTCTTCAACCAGCTCAACCAAGATAAGTTCTTTTATCGATACACAACACACCTCGAAACGCAACGTCTTAAATATCTTCTGTGGGCTCATCCTGCTACCGCAAGTCTTTACAAGGTTAACTCCGACATTTTGGTGATGGATTGCACGTACAAGACTAATAAGTTCGATCTTCCTCTTCTCAATGTCATCTCACTTACTGGAATGGACACTGTAATTCCTGTATGTCAAGCCTGGCTTCCAGGCGAGAAGAAACAAGACTACACTTGGGCTCTGAACATGTTACGGCTACTGGTATTGGAGTATGACGTCCCAGAGCCGAGAATCATTTCGCATGATAGAGACCAAGCGTTAATGAATGCTCTGGCACTCGTTTTCCCCGACGTACCGACAATTCTGTGTCGATGGCACATGAACAAGAACGTACTGCGTAAAGTAAGAGAAGTGCTGGGCAAGGTGGCTGTCGAAAACCCTGCTCCTGGTCAATGCAAGTACTCGAATTCTTTGGCCACAGACAAATTTATGGCGCTGTTTTACCGCACAGTTGACTCGGAGACGGAAGAGGATTTGCGAGCAAACAAGGCCGCTCTAGCTGAATCTAACGCCCAACTTGCCGCATATCTGTCGGAGCACTGGTGGAAGTACGAAGACAAGATCGTTAAGGTCCGAACTAATCGGTTCATGCACTTTGGTGTTCGAGATACGTCAAGTGTCGAGGGGACTCATGCACAATTCAAACGCTGGATCAAGTCGACCCGTGGTGACCTTTTTACTGTGTACAACAAGTTACTTCTATGGTGGATATCGTCTGCGAGCAGGACGCGCGAGTGTTTGAGCCGCAACGAAACGATAGTGCCTTACCAACTGCAATTCAATGAGTTCGCCGCGTGTGTGAAGGTTATAACCAATTGGGCCCTGTATAGGACTGACGAACGTTGGAATCAAGCTCGAAAAAGTATCGTGCAAAGCGAAGCTCTCCCTGATTGTAGTGGTATCTTTCGCGCTACTCACGGGATGCCGTGTGTACACGAACTCAAAGCGATCATAGAGTCGGAGGGGCGGCTACATCTCATGCCTTCTCTTTTTGACAAGCATTGGTGGATTCAACAAGGTCCAGAACAGGAGCATATAGCTGCTGCTCGCATTCTTGATCCCCTACCTGCCAGAGCCAAGGGCTGTAGGAAACCCAGAGAAATCACACACAAGCGGAACCACGGAGCTAACGGCACAGCAAGAGAGCTGGTCCATTTCGAACATGTGGAGATTAATGATACTAACCTGACAGCGTCCCAGCCAACACAACCCGATCCCTCCCTATTTGGAACGCAAACTTTGGATAAAGTTCACGAATCTGGTCAGCAGAATTTTGCAGCGGCTACTGTGCCCTACCATCATCACCACACACCAGCCAGAAGTTGGGGATATGCTGGTATGAGCCCATACAAGTAATGGCTAAGACGACGTAGCAGAATTAAAAAAAGGTATCTTTGCTTAGATCTTGCAAATCTCTTTTAATCTTAAAGAAAACTTCAACATTAAAAAATCTAATATGTTTATTATAAATTTGGTTCGACTAATGAACACTGCCATTACATTTAAAAGTGTATTCATTAAAAATTATATTTTTATGTCTTGTGACTATAACAAATATGTGAACGAAGAGAACTTTGGACTGCAAACACCCTGTCACAATTTAGACAGGGGAACATCCCGCGGCGATTCTGTTTCTCCCTTCGTAGCTGCCTGTGGGCTTCTGCGTCAGGATTGTCAGTACAGAGATATCGATGCTGCCGAATACGACCAGAATTGCTGTCTGTGACTCCACAATACTGGCACACAAACAGCGTGTTCGACACCACGTCAGGGGTCCAAGACTCTCCCTTGAAAAAGAGATAACAATGAAGCCTGTAATTAGCTGTAGTGTAGGCTACTCCACTGTGAAAAAGATCTCCACGAAATATAATAGCGTAGCCGCGAGGTATATCCAATATCACTTCTTTTTGTACGTTCGAAACAACCCGTAAAAACACGAAGTTTCGTGTCATTCTCCAAAGATACAATGACACTTGCAGGTATCGAACCTGGAAATTTTTCACCACATTTATCTCGTACTTCTGCCGTGTAATATTGATGGGGCTCTTGAGCTTCTCCACCGGGCCGAGAATGCATGAAAGAAAATACTGTAGGTGTATACTTCTCGTCTCTAATACACACGTCCTCCTTTATAGTTTTTTGGACAAGTTTTAGTGTCGAACTCACTCGAACAACGCGCGACTGGCTTCGAAAAGGGTCATCATTAGCTCCTCCGACCTCCCGAAAAACTGGTGTGTATGTGCGTGATCGTGCTTCGCTAAGCAACGCGTCGATCGTAGATGTATCTAGTTGTAAGGATACTCAAGCAAAACCGGAAGATGGAAACGAGGGGCGCATGGTGGAGGAAGCCGAAATTGAAAACTATATTTGCTGTAGCTCTCGTCGGCAACGCCAAAAATTCGATTTGCCGTTGCCGACGGTTCGTTCTATTTTTTGCAACAGGTAGCTTTTTTTGTGAGGGCCCTCCCAGCTGGAAAGCCTTCCTTAGTTTCCCCCCAAAAGTATCCACGCATCCTGCGCTTGATCCGCAGAAGCATTGTTCGCTACTATCGACTAATACATTATCATACTTAGATGAGGTGGACGGCTCGAACCACACGCCTGAAATTTATAAGATTACCAGGGTTCCGCTTTGTTGAATATTAGCATTTGTTGTATCACATAGTAATAGTATGAAGTACTATCGGCGGTCGTTATGACAGAAGGCTGACGAGGAATTGACGAAGATCGGGACGGCATGAACAGTTGATACGAAGGACAGCAGGATGACGAAGGTAAGTACTGAACCAACGAGGATAGCGAAGAGAACTGGAACGGCAACGGCAAGAAGATGGCAGGGACGGTGACGATGACGAAGATCAAGTGGATATTGTACCAACTTGGGTACATTCAAGGAGAGCAGACTCTACGTGGCAGCATAGCGGACAACAGAGACCGAAGGAGAGGCGACGTCGGACTGGATTGAGCGGCTCGCATTCACCGCAGAACGTCGTATCCGGTGAAGATCGCAGAGGCCGAAAGGCCGTAGCCCAGATGCATTTGAAGTAGGAGATCAGTCTTAGATTTGCTGCGAAGTAGAGATAAAACACTTACGAAGTTAACCTCTAAAAAAGAGAAGAGATCGAGAAGGGAACGTATTGCGTTGTCTACTCACTTGCATCCTGACGAGAGAGAAGAGCAACAAAGAAGAGGAGAAGCAGTACCTAGTGAACGGACGGGTTCTAGTGTGTGGAAGGAAACGGGTATCAGCAGCCCCGTAGGGTCGAAGAGGAGTATCTGCAGCCTACCCTCCAGGTGCTGGACAGTCTTTTGAGGTATCGGAGCCCTCGCGGTAGTTTAGCCTGCGACGCAGCCCTGGACGACCTGTAAGATCACTAGAACCTTGTCAACATCAAACGACCGCACGAGTAGTGAACTGAAGTGCTGTGTATATTCGGTGTTACTGTGTCTGTTAGAGCACTCAGAGAACTTGTTCACCAGACACTGGCTGCTGGCCACGGACAAGACTGGCGCGGCACGAGGTGTCCTAAACGGGAGCTACGGTTATTGCCTATTCTTACTACATGAAGTTTCTATGGTAAATGCATATCGGACGATACCGGTATCTTGGCTAACTGCTAGCGTTTACTCGCAATCACTTGCAGCAAGACGTACCCGTTCGTTGCGTAATGATAAATTGTTTTTTTGTTCATGGGGTGCTAGTGGATGTAGTATAAGCAGCTCAGTGAGAGGATTGCCAGAAATGCTTGTGAAATTAAAAATATTGCTTAGAAAATTTGTGTAGATTCGTTTCCGGCGTCCTGTACAAATGGGACGTCCCTACAGTTAAGCATCTCGAAAAAGAATGTTGGCTTAATACTTAAGTATTCCATTCTATATCTGAGAGGCGAGAGAGGAATTAACTTGTGGTTATCATTGGTGACACACATATATTGGTATTGGTGGTATATTCCCCCGACTACTCGCTCTGATGGCCAGTGTCGTTGCTGTTCTCTCTCGAGCTTAGTTGTCGTCAGAACCTTCTCTGCCTTCAAAGACGAAGTTTTATCCTAAGTACTTCAATCACTCGTATCAAGGTTAGAGCCTGTTCGAGTTATACTGGAGATGGAGATTGGCGACGATCTGCATCTCAAATTGCTTCGCTTTGTCTCCATCTCTCGCTACCTAGTGTCAGAACCCGCTGTGCAGTTTAATCGAATAAGATGCTTTATGGTACGACTTGTTAGCTCTTTTCGGTAGATGAGGAAATAAAGTCCCAATAGCTCCCCTTTTTTCGGCAGTTTTGCTTCCATATCTTGATATTCAAGTTATCCTTTAACTGGAGGGCTGATCAGAAGATAAGAGCCGATAGTTTGAATCGAATCAGGCGTTCAAATTTAAGTGTTTTCAGGGGATCAAGTTTCACTATGTTAGTTGTATCTGATAAGAAGCTCAGTTGTAATTTACGACTTTACAAGAAAATGTTCTTAGTAGTAACGACCGTAGCGGACGCATATACCGCTAAAAAAAAGACCTGAGTATGGTGAACTGGTTAACTGAATACGCTTTCGCGTCTGGCTTATCGACTACGTTGACACCAAATAAGCTGAACCCCGCGTTTGTTACCTGCCAAGTCAACCCACTTTACATAATCTCCGTCGAGTCTGACGCCGGCAGGATCACAGTCTGCAATGAATGGGCTGGTAGCGTCAGAGTGAACGTATTTAAATCCGTCTGCTTCACGCTCACTGTGACTTCCGAGCTATCTCGATTCAAAAACTGCAAAACAACTTGGTTGTTTGGAGTCACGAATGCGCAGCGGTGAAATTTGTTCAGTTTCTTTTTCTTTGGGAACTCAATGCGCTTCGATCCTGGTGGCACAAATTTCGCGAAGTGGCCCATAACGTAGAACATAGGCTGCTTGTAGAACTCGACCCCACGCTCTTCATCAATGAGAATCGCAGCGTCAACGTAGTTTTTAGCCCAGGTTGGTCCTCCTTTGGTGTCTAGAACCATGTTCCATTCGACCCATCCAGCTGCCATATTGTTGATATCTTCGATAATGTCTCGCCCATAATTCTCCGCTCGCTTCCAAGCTTTCTTCGGCTTGTCGAGCGCAGGACCTCTGCCTGTTCCTATAAAAGAAGGAAGATATCCTTCGCACGCTTCCGTCCCGAGCATGAACATATCAGGATTTGTCTCGGAGAATTTGAGCAGATTATTGTAATTTCCAGCGAACGGTAAGATGAAGTCAAGGTTCTGATACCAGTGGAAAGCGAGACCACTAAGATACTTCCTAGACTCGGGATCGTCAAATGGCGCGCTACGACTTTGTATTCCCGTCTTTTGGTCGTCGTTAGCCATGAGCTTCAGCTCTGGATGGTTTTCAGCCATCAGCGGCCCAAGGTGTAGCTTGATGAAGTCTCGCTCCTCTTTAGCAGTCATTCGAAGTGTTTGCCATGGTGTAAGAGGGAGAGGAGGCTTTTGAGGCTCGTTCTGCACGCTCATGGCCCAGAAGTCGATCCCTTCCTCCTTGTAGGCATCAAGGAACTTGGAATAATACAACGCCAGTGCCTGCCAGTACTTGCCACCAGGTTTCCCTTTCATAGTACAGTCGATGACCGAGTCTCCACTGGTCATCCACAGAGGAGGAGCCCATGAAGTTGCGAACAATTTTACCCCATTCACCGACTTGTTGAGCGCTCGGTGGATCATGCTGAGCTTGTTGGAGTGAGGCGCTTTGTCCGACGCGATTGTGAAGTTTTCCATCTCGAAATCATCCACCATGTCGTTGTAAGTGTAGGTACTAGTGGAGAAATCCGTCGAGCCGATGGGTACACGACTCATGCTGTATTGCAGACCGGAGTCGGCAAAGTACTGCTCCAACACCATTTCTTGAAGCTCGGAGGAAAGTTTGTACAGATTGATCGCTACAGCGTCCGTGAGCCCGCCGCCAAACCCAAGCATGGTTTGGTATTGCGTCGACACATCGATCGAGTAGGTTGGTTTGTTGACGGGAGAACTGTCGATGTATGACACTGTGTATGTCAAGCGTTTCCCGTCCTTGGATGTAGTGTAGACTCCCACTTCACCCGCCTTGAGATGTGTGTAGTTGTTGGAGACGGTGTCACACTGGGTAGAGTTACAGACACATACGCCTTCCAAGTTGGTTTTAAAGCGCGTGGACCAGTTGCTACATGCTGCCAAGATTTCTTGAGACCCAAGCAAACTGGAGAAGATAGCAAGAAGATATAAAGCAAGCATGGGCGACGACTTGGTGGCGAGCCTGTATATCGAAAAGTGCGACAGGAGATTGACTGAACAACATCACCCTGACATCATGTAGAGAAAAATGTAACTCTCATAACCAGGTCTGAGCCAATTTCTGATCGTACGTAATGCAGACTGTATTTTATGCTGAATACTGACTACAGACCTCCACATTTGACCATTATCCCCTCTTTCAAGACAACTCTACCATTTATGAACAGTAAGTTCTGGAGTCGCCTACTGTACATACTCTGATCGTCGTGCCACACATACCACCGCTACTGTTGATACTATTAATACTGTATTATCTATGAGAACGTGTCGTTGTAAAATCGTAAGTCACATCTGATCTTCCGTGCAGAAAAACTAACTTATTGGATCTTGTTCCAATGAAAACTTTTGATTCAAACGCCAGATTAGGGCCACTAACGCCTCTTTCCTTTTAGTCAGTGCCATCCATCCATGCAGTTAAGAGATAACTACCATACAGATAACGACGGATAAATCCGACGACGCCTCCATAGTAAAATATAATTATTCACCCACTTCACAAAATATCGTTGCATAAATACACTTAAGTGGTCATGAAGTACACAGGATATTATAGAAACGATTCTAAAGTATTTTGCATACAACGACCAAGTCATAAGGTCCAATCTGATTGGCAAATCTGTCGTGCTTTTAAATTCCCTGACTTTTTTGTCAAATTTCTGTGTCTGTCGGATATATCCATCGTTTCTGCATCACGCAAAGATGTCGAGATCGGGAGGCATTGCTTTCTTATGCTATCTACCGAAAATATTTGATAAAATCGTACCACAAAGTAGCTACGCTGGTGAACTGGGCTACACTCAACGTACATGTGCAAGAAGCACCAATGACGCACTTGAGAATTACACAACTTGAAGTTTCCGTGGCGAAACTTAATATTTGAATCGCAGCTTGGATATCTAGGGATCCGTATTTGCTTAAACGTATTGACTTGAATTTGCATGTCAGACTGTTAGGCTGAAATATGTCCAGCCCGAATGCGCACAGCGCGGTTACCACTATGCATTGAATGGAAATTTCATCAATGTTTGTGAGTAGATAAATTCGACACTGCTTTCGATTAAAAAATACTTAATGAAATGTTGACGCACGTGACCAATCATACATGTAGAGTCCGTATACACACACTGCATGCTCCATGTGGGAGGTTGAAGCACGTACATGTACATAAAACGGGTGATTGCGCAAAACACACTAAAGTAAATCTTTGTTGCCTGCATGTTAATAGGTGCATCGATAAATTTACTTACAAAATGCTCAAACTTCTTCATCTAACGTCCACTATGCAGACAATCATCTCGGTAGTCATGGTGTGGCTTTTCATTCGAGTCTTGGAGGCAAGTCAGTCTTACCCACAACTAGTGTAGAATTTTATACTCAGAAACCCAAAATTGATTAATTTACTCAACCCTGCAGATAATTCCTGTCGACTTTGATACTACTGTTATAGAAGATGCTACCGGATAATCGTACCCAATATATTGGGTTTCCCTCCTGATATTAGATACACGAGATATCTGCTCGTATCGAAAGCAAGATCCTTAACTTAATCAAGTATGCCACCCTTGATATCTCATACCCGCTGCACAAATCATGCGAAGCACGTGAATGTTGCTTGTGGCAACATCATCGGTAATTTATGGAAGACGAAAGTAATTTATTATGGTGAATGCCTTCCGAAGCTACGCTCAACAAATAGAGATGGAGGAATAGTGAAAGCTGATAATACAAACCTTTGCTCATTAACTTAACTCGTTGCTGTAGCCATCTTCCTTCATTCTCCGCCATAAGCTCTCTCTCTCCCTTTCCCTCTCGCCGTTAAAATGTATGTTGATGTTGTTGTCAGCTGAGCGTACACTGAGATATTCACTACAGTGGCATTGTACGCAGTCTAAACGAGAACGAAAACACTTGAACGGCTTTATTTCTTGGATCCATTTACTTCCAGCTTGAGTTTCAGCTCTCGTGGGAACAAGCGCAGCAACAACGATGACGTAAAATTACAGTAAACGAAGTAGAGCGTCTGGCGCTACTCGTTCTTACTGAATTGAGATTTGTCCAAACTACCGACAAAGGTGTATTATTCAAGAAGCCCACCTATATATTCTAATTAAGAACACAAACATACAGTTGGTGTGCTGTAAATAGCACAGGTCTGTGGAGTACACTACCAGCGGAAGTTTACTCTTACTGTAGGTAGTCCTTGTCAATACTCGACAGGAACTAGTTACAAGTTGCTGATAGGATTGCAGCGTTATCAAATGTAGATTAGCATGAAAACCCAGAGCTTCCCGTGTAAAACGCGGCATTAGTTCATATCACTCTATGTATAATTATGGTCCATTGGTTTTGTCTTCACTCGGTGTGGTTAACCCGCTAGTAGACGTAAATCATAAGGGACGCCCAACCTACAAAACACTTGTATAGCACATATAGCTGGCGATATCTTGGCGAGCTGCTGGCGTTAAGTTCGTTTTAATCTGGGTTACTAGGGGCACGCTATAGTTAATTATTTTTGTTCAAAGGGTGCTTCTACAGCATGCCGTTTAAGCAGATCAGTAAGAGGATTCCCAGAAATGCTCGTAAGAATATTCAAAAAATGTGTACCTTAGTAGCCGCTACTATCTTTATATGTATTCCTTTTCGGCTGGACGTCTTCATAGTTAAGCACCCGAAATAAGAATGTATACCTCAGCTGTAAATTAGTTCATTTTACAGCTGAGGGATGCGAGGGGGAAATTAACTCGTGTTTGTAAGGTGAATGTCCATATAATAAGAATTGTATCAGGTCAAGCTAGATTGTTTGCCAAGCGACCGGAAGGCTTCGATTGAGATCGAGAAACTCGAGACAGTCGTAGTAGCTCGAATGAGTTATTGAAAGCTGTAGCAAGTTGATAAAGAGCTTGCAGTGTCAAAGAGCCTTTTGTATTTGTTAAGGAAAATTGAATGAACTTTTTATTTGGAGCTTACGAGGAAAACATGCGAAACCTGCAGCTGCCATGGGTCCTACCGGGACGATACCTAAAACAAGCAAAGCGAGTTTGCCTAAGAGCGAATAGGAGAAGTGAACCACACACACTTCCCGATGAGTAAGTAGTCCTTCAATCCATGAAAGCCAGCAGCACCAATATTGAGCAGTGTTGGCGTAGCCGGGTACAATAAGGCTGGCTTTCTTAGTCCGTCAAACAATCAGCTGATGTTCGTTAACGCCTTTTCAAGCACTACGCTCTCAAGGTTCGCCACAAGATTCACCAGGGTTTCTTGGCTAACCTTTTGTAGCAGATTATGAAACGTATCGACAATCGATTCTTGTGGTGTTGGATTTCCGGTGTGTATGGGAACGCGATGAACGCACATCTCCACCACGGTCCCCGGTTCCATCACGTCTTCAGAAGAATAAAGCCGACACCAACCTCTCTCGTCAACCTTTATTCCGCTGAAAATGCCGCCCCCTTCAGAGATGCATTTCCAAGTGTTTACAATGTGATCGTCCTGAACAAATTGGCGAACTATGCACCATCGGGATAACTGAAATGTTTCTCCGGTCTCCAACACGTTAGTGTCTGTGAAGTTCGTCACAATGGTCCTTTTTGGATCATCGATGTCATACCCCATGTAGTCCTGCGAATCTCTAAAATGCTGCTGACCCAGTTGCCACATAACGCTATTCGCTTCAGATAGCGATGACGGCAGAACGAGTCTAGATCGAACGTAGAAACGTTTATCGGCCTCGTGTTTGTAGTCCGCGCGAAAAACTTCATCCGTTTGGTGGAAACTTGTCTCGAGCTGTTGAATGTACTTACTGAAAGGTGCTACTGGTTCCATGGTGAAAGGGGAGATAATCGGATCGCCGATTTTTTTTGTCAGGATGTCGCGTAGAGCAGATATGTACATGGCTTGTCTGTTCGCCATTACTCGAAGCTCTTGCTGTTGAGTTTCAGCATCCTCGCGCTCCTGTTGCAGCCGAGCAGCAAGGTCTCTCCAGAGAAGGAAAGCCATGTACCCACTAGCATTTGGGCCTACCGACTTCGCCTTAATTTCACGCCGGAGAGATAGCAATTGCTGGCGTAACTCCACCTCTTGACGTCGTAAATGGTCACGTATCATTTTCTGACCGAGCCGGTAAGTTCGGCTTCTGACTGTCGCCCGCGATTTTTGGTTGTTTTGTGTTGTACTTTCAGGGACATCGGTAATCAATGAAGTGCGTATTCTGGCGCTCAGCTGACCTCCGCTCTCTACTAAAAGAGGACTTGCATTCGTTGTTTCAAGTTGAGACTCCATCCCTTGGCTTTCCGGCTTTTGGTGTTGCAAGTAAAATACAGAATGCTTATGCCTGCGGAAGTAGCATTAGCATTTCGCGGTGGAAAGGTATCCACATTAAAAGGGGGCTCGGTTTGTTTGCGTTGGTCACGCATTGTTATACCCACAAACACAGCAGGAATTGATTTGTTACAGTAAACGTGTCATTTTGCTAGGTGGAAGGGCGGATATATTAATTTAGTAATTCTAATTCGTCATTTGCTCCGACGCCGGTTCGCGTACTTGCAGATTAGCCACATTTGCGTACAGTAGTTTTTCAGCTTCTAGAAATTTCAGAAGTAGGTTGCTGATGTAAAAGCCTCACACAAGTCTACAGCTGGGAGAACATCTGAGATAAGACTGGTGCAGTCTATCGCAGTAGGAGGGGGGGGGGGGGGGAGTTATCTTTGTCGCTGGTAAAAATAACAGTGCTAGGACTAGACAGTTTTATTTTGCTTTGACGAATACACTTGGCACGATTGTACAGGGAGTGCCACTTCCCACAGAAGTTTCTTTACTGAGACCTACTGTACTGCAAAGCGAACTTGTGAGGAAAGAGCTAATGTGATCCAATTTTTGCCTCTGCGTCCGTACAGATGACATTACCTAAAACTACTAAACCATAGTAACGAAATGATGATGTGACTTGATGGCATTGTGACCAATCTTCGTTTTTTTTTAATACCGGTAAGCGATGATTGCTAGTCTCATCGTCATTTCGTTACTATTAAAAATAAATAAATAAGCGAAGATTGGTCACATTGCCACTGAGTCACATCATCATTTCGATACTATTAAAAAAAAGCGAAGATTGGTCACAATGCCATCAAGACACATCACCATTCCCTTATTAAAATAAAGCCTTCCTCAATAAGTCAAATTTGTCATGAAGCGAACGAAAACCGTGTTAATACGGAGACGGTCTGGATTTTACAGTGCTATTGACTTTGTGCGGGTTGGTTGAGAGCAAATCCAAAAACACACATAACCATCACAATTATGGGCAGCGCTCAATTAAAAGCATACTGGGGGTTGCACCCCCAAACTCCCGCATTAGAAAAAAAAAAATATACTGGAACGTGCAACGGGTCCGTTTGCTGGTGAGCTCGTCGCTGGGCCCGTCTATGCATAAACCTCTGGGGTAAAAAGACCAAAAAATACTAGGAAAAAAATATTTTTTAACATGCAATCTAGTTATGATAGCCAATGCTTCTCACACTTCTTATATTGAGATCCCAAACTAATGTTTGCGTTTTACAACATAGATTACTTGATCTCTAGGTGCATCCGTTATTTAAGATTAGCATTGGATTGTCGTACCAAATATAATGGAGATACGGTAATTTACTTGAATAAGTAGATTTGTTATAGAAGAAATACCACGCAGGTGAATGTTGCTAGTGGCGGCCAAGGGTGACTTCACGGTATATACGACTAAACGAAGTAATCTTTAACCGCGTGAATGTCGTACGAAGAGACGTTAGCACACAGTTGAGCGGCTGCGAAGCGGAGCCAACCAACAGTATCCGTCGTGTACAGAACTCGCTCTCGATGAGCGTAGGTTAGACAGGACACTGGATATACCATTTCAGAGTGACACTAGTAGCTGGCGATAAAAACACATATATTGTGTCAAATCCTTATCAGCAAATATGACAGGGTATGCAAAACCCGAGCTACGCTTACGAGGAGCTAGAACAAAGCGTCCAAATGTTAACTGCATACATTGCATACTAAAATCGGGAGCCAGCCGTGTAAGAGGGAAATATATGTATACAAACACACAAAACCTCACTGGAACACACATAGAATGGTAAGGTCACACATTATTAGAAGACGGTAGTGAGCGGGTGCGAGGAGCGTAGCCGTAGCAAACCCGAGCGGGTTGCCCACGAAGCAGGGCCGCTCGGTATTAGCGCACACGCTACGGTACTGTGCGACCACACGAAGGATATTGATGGTGGACATCACGTCGCAACTCTCTTCCGACGACATGCACAACGATAAAGGCTGGTTCGATCACAACACTAATAGTTGTATCCTACGGTGATGTTAACCATGGTCACCACAAGCAAGATTAAACTAGGTTGCATTACTTTCCAAAGAATAGGGGATTCACGCCACCAATTTACTTGTTTAAAGTAAATATATTGTATCCGATAAAAGCTAACTCACACGTTATGCATGTTCAGGGGGAAACCCCACTTTATTTGGTACGACAATGCAAGGTAGCTCATCTGCTCTACGGCATAAGAAGTGTAGTTACGGGTCATAATGATTCCTCCCGCCAGAACAAAGCATCCCAAGGAATAAGAATATCGGAAAACCAATCGTGAACAAAGGAGATCTCAGAGACTTACCGTATAAAATACGGTTTTGTTTTCTAGTAGCGGAATGAAAGGCGTTTTGAGATCGGGAAACGAAGCCTTCATGTAAAATAAAGTCGTGAGTCCATCTACAGAAAACATCTTCGTTGTAATGCATCGGTAATCTATCCGTCATTTCTCCATATTATATCCAGATTTGTTCTAAAGGTCTAGGTTTCTAGTGATTTGAGATGATTGGTCACACGAGCCGAGTCGCGTCATCATTACAGAAGTCGAGAGCTGTTACACCAGTTTGAGTGGTTGAAGTTTCCTACAAGATGCACCGCATCCATAAGATCAGCTCTATTTGTCAGCTTGCTCAGAACGAGATACGACGTTCATCTTTCGAATGGAGTCACAAAGCCGTCAAGAACACCCAGTCGTTCACTCGAACGAAGAGATTAATGGGAGAAAAGTTTCCCACAGAACTGGTCTCGTGCCAGCGGTGACTACAGGTGTTCATGATGAGAGCTCAAAGCTTCTTGGTGAAGTGGTTAACGAGGGTGAAGCGGCCTCAAGAACTTATCTCCAAACTAAACTGGTCGGGTTGCTCGCTCTGTTTGGTACGCTCTGGTCTATTATCGAAGTTGATTGTTACTCTAATCATGTCATTTTAATGTAGCGGTCATCTGGACAAACATCTTCCAAGCCGAAGCCGTGCAGTATCTTCAGGTTTGGAATAAACCGACCGTGCATTTATTAAAGTTAATTTCTTACTAAATTCCGTACAATATTTAGACATCGATCCATTTCAACAAACCATTCTTCGTCATGTGCTTCTGCCATGCAGTGCCAGTAAGTGGTATCTTCATTTATGTAAGTGCGAGTCCTCATAGATATGTCTAACCGAGTTGTATTGCATTTTAGGTGTTGTTCTTGCCGTTGATTTTCGTCTACTATCGTATCTGCGGAACAACTGAAGATCGTCATGCCGGTCACGACATGTTGGATGTGCTTAGAAGGCACTCCATCGTTCCTCTTGGGCAGCTACTTCGCCTGTCCGCATTTCTCGGCGTGTTCTACCTGGTGTGCGACTACTTCTGGTTCTCAGCGTTCCAAAACTTGACGGTAGCAGCTGGAGCTGCGATCTTCAACAGTTCGCCACTCTTCGTGTATTGCTTCTCGATTTGTTTGCTGCACGAGAAAGTCTCGTTAAAGAAGCTGTTCGGCGTTTTGACGGCGTTTGCTGGTGTGACGATGGTGATATTTTACCAAGACAACAGTGACAGCGGAGGTATTGGAAGCCCCAGTGTCGTCGCGGGACTGATGATGCTAATATCGGCAATGCTAAACGCCGGATACAACGTGTCTGTAGCGTTAACCGCAGGCGCAAATATCAACGATACGCCGACACTCATGATCATGATGGGACTCAGTGGAATATTCACAATACCTGTGTGGCTGATCGGTACTCTGTTCTTCGCGCAGAGTCCGTTCCCTTCGTTGTATGAGTCGATCGGATTTCCCCCGACAGCTGAAGGAAACATCATGCTGGTGACTGGAGCATTCATGTTTACGACCAACTTCATCTTCCTGACATTTGCTGTGTGCTGGACTTCGCCGCTCGAGACAAGTGTTGGCTTCATGCTCACGATCCCGTTGGCAGGGCTCATCGATACGTTTGTGCGTCATGCGTCGTTTACGTGGGAGTTCTTTACTGGTGCGGCGCTAGTGATGACAGGATTCTGTATCTTGGAATTGGCATCTTTCGAGACGTCGAAGCACTCCAATTCGCACACGGACGTTGAGGTAGAAACAGAGCTAGCATAAGAAAAAAAGTGAGAACTGAGACAAAGTGCTGGAATTATCAATGGTGCTATAATAGAGTTGCACGGAGATACATGCAATGCACGAAGCAACAGGTATCACGAAACGTTGATGTTATAGTTCTAAAAGCAAGGCAGAGTAATTTTTTCTTTGTATTTCTCGTATATAAAACACAACTTATAGCACATGCGCCTACAAACACTTGACCTTACACCTACTTAGTGAATACGATGGTCTTCTCCTTGGTGACAGCATTAGCTAGTATGCAAGCTACTTTTTGACGATGATGTCTTTGAACATGTCGTCCAACAGCAGTTTTTCCATTGACGTCACCAGTGCGTCCCACTCACGATTGCCCAAGGCTTGCAAGCTCCGGTGAAGCTGCTTGTCATCGGCTACGAGAGGCTTAGTCATTTTGAAGTTCACTGGTGTGCGTCGCATGTACATCTCAAGGACTGTTCCAGGCTCCGCCTTATCCGTCGACGGTCGAATTGACGCCCAGCCAGTTTCGTCCCACTGCAGCCCGCTGAACATTCCGTCACCTTCTGACACGTTCTTCCATGTGAAGGAGGTGTGATTCTTTTCAACATACCGTCGAGTGGCGTGTCGTCGTCGAATTTTCGCAGTTGCGCCTGTTTCCAGGATTATTTTATCTTGGAATGTTCGAGTGTAAGTGTTGTCTGGATCGTCGACGTCATCGTAGCTTTGATAACACGCTTTGCTGTCGAAAATCTGGTTGCCAACCTTCCAGAGGTAATGCCCAGTCTCGTCAAAAGAGAATGGTAGCACGTCTTTCACTATGCGTTCATAGTATTTTACCTCTCCGTCGTCTTCACGCCTATTCACGGTGTTCACAGTAGTCCCTGTAGCAGCCAAAGCAACCGAGCCCAAGACCTCGTCGATATGGCGATAATTCGCATCGATCTCTCGAATGTACGCGTAGATCAATTCCGACTCTGCCACTCTCATCGTCTTACGTACCGACCGTTCGTCGGCGATAAGGGAATCACCGAGTCGAAGTCGTTTGCGTACAACTCCACGCAGTGTTTCGATGTAGGTGGCTTGCATCTTGACAGCTGCAGTCAATTCTCGTTGTTTGGCCTCTGCTAGAGAGCGTTCTTCTCGTTGCCGAAGAGCTATCGACTTCCACAAGAAATACGAAGTGGGCTGTGACTTATCGAATTGATCCTTTTCCTCCTTTTTCCTCTTGGCCAACTGGACGAGATCCTCGCTTAATGTGGTTTGTTGATGGCGAAGTTCTTTGCGCTCGCCTTTGAGACGTTCTCGATAGACTCGACGTCGATCAGCCACCTTCTTTCTACACCGCGTGAGCTCGTTCCCGTCTTCCAGGCTGTTGGCGTCGCTATCTTGATTGCTGCCGTCCAGGTCGAGGAATGTGTTGGTATCCACTCCAGTAATTACAGACAAGTCTGCAATCCCAAGCGCTTCCATGTCAGCGAAGAGAAAGTTGTCGTCCAACTGAAGAAGAGGAGTCTCCATATCAAGTATTTGTGTCCCGTTGCGGCACAAACTAGGTTGCTTGACGTCTCAGTTTGCGTTTGCGTTGTGAGGAGCCAGAGTTTGTCAGCATTCGTCAGAACAGATCACAAAGGCCTATCACTTAACGACTGCGGCAGGGAGTGCCTGTCGTATGTGACGTCCATCTGGCACCTGTTAAATATTTGATGAGTGCTCTGACTTTCACTTGAAGGTGATCTCGTCCGTGGCCACGTCATTTGACAGTACGAAGAAGAGGTCACTGTGACCAGGCCACGGTATATAGCAAGTCTACAAGATACCACCACGTAGATTGAAAGTATCTCAATCTATGAAGAATGCCACAGTCAGGTGCATTATGTATGAGAGAGTCGCTCTTCTTTGCGTATGTTCAGCAGATGGCCAACCCCAGTCCAAATCACTGATGTGGATATTTTGTTCTGTAAGTTACAGATAAAACAACTGAACAAGGTTGTCAAATACAATGTGGAAGTCGAGACCCTATCACGATGCTCTACATGTAGTGTACGCAGAAATGCTATCGTTCTACTGATGGGGTCAAATCGCAATTCTATGGACTACACTATTAAGAAAGCGCAATCCCGATTGTCTAAATTCGTGGTGTTGCCTCCATCTCTCTTTGGGTAATGTAGCACTTCACATGCTGCTGTACTATTGATGCCGTCAAATTTAAAAGTGGCTTTGTGAACACTTGTTGAGACTTTTCATTCTCTACTAAAAGATGTACACAGCTATTCTGACGAAATCAATCGAGCATCGACGATGGTTTACGATGCTGCATAGTAGACCGCCCCAAACAAAATAAATACGACTACGTCATGAGGTGGGGTGTCGTCCCTATCCCGACAGGTGGGATCACCTAGTGAGACCAGAGATCTAACGCTGGGACGTTTACGACTTTAATATGATTGGATGGCCATGACCACGGCTCTATCAGCAAGAATATATGTTAACACAGTATGGGAGGAGTAAGTCGTGACTCACAATATTGTGTCGTTCTAGCTCGAGACACAAAACAAATTAAACGACGACGTCATAGGACACAATAGCTTAAAACAAACACTAAGACGTTGTATTTCTGCTGTCACAGATGCACTTTTGAGGTTCAAATGACTAACGTTACATCTTCGCGATTTTATAGAAGTCTTAGTTCGGTTTGTCGATAAAAGCAAGGGGGTATTTTGCACAAACGCAGAGTTTGCTTGAGAAGTGAAGCATCCGTAATGACAGATTCTTTTTTTAAAACCGATTAAGCCCCATTGATCTTGAGCAAACTGAGTTTACCTTCCTCTGTTCGTTTAAGAACGCCATGTAACCACTAAAAGATGAGGCATGGCGTATCATGCCAGTACGTGATCATGAAAATTATTTTTACACCTTACAATAATATAGTAACTGATCTCATCCACTTTAATATCTATCCCTAGAACATTTTAGCCGGTCAGGTCTCATCCTTTCGTGGTTAAGAACTGCCCTGAATCCGTCCTTGTCGAGATGAAGTACATCAGTACATCAGAATTTTGCTGATCTGCTAACTCGATATATCTCAAGGAAAGCCACGTCGAGTACAGGGCTGGCCCCAGGCGTATAAGGATTTTTCGGCAATAATGTGTGTGTGTGT